GCTTGTTAAAAAAAAAAGCCAATTGTTATATGTTTATGGTAAAATGAATTATTGAGGTGTGATTGAACAAATATTAGTGAAATAAATCTATAAGTTATGAAGAGATTCATGCCCACATGAGCACATTAATGTCACATGAAACTCATAAAAACTTAGATTCATGGCATTCTGTAATAGTATAAAAGGGATAACAAATAATGTAATATTTTTGTTCTGCTTTTGTGGTTAACTTGAAAAACCTTCAGAATCAAGAGCAATTACTCAGTACATTGCACGCGCGTACACCAACAAGGGCGAACCACTCATACCCACCGACCCCCACAAGATGGCCATTGTCTCCGTTTGGACAGAAGTCGAGTCGCAAAAATTTGAGGTTGTAGCCTCCAAGCTTTCATACGAGCTCGTCATAAAACCCAAGATAGGCCTGGTCACTGACCCTGGTGTAGTGCACCAGCACCAGGAGAAACTAGCTCCGGTTCTCGATATATATGAGTCTCGTTTGTCGCGGTCCAAGTATTTGGGCGGAGACGAGTTTAGCCTGGCGGACTTGCATCACATCCCCATTGTGTACTATCTGTTGGGGACTGAGATTAAGGCCCTGTTTGATGCTAGGCCCAAAGTCAGCGCGTGGTGTGACGATATATTGGGCCGGCCCAGTTGGCAGAAGGTTGTGCAGGCTATGAAGATCTGATCTGATCGGCCCGTTAAGGACCCGTTGGTTCTTGTGGTTATGGAGATGATAATTATTTTCTACGGACTGGAAGTTTTTTGCTTCTCCAAATAAACAAATGGTTGTTGTTTAATTGGAACTACTACGAATCCCGTGCGATGCACGGGTAAGAGATATATATTAATATTTATATTAAACGATGAGATGTACGTTAATAACATAACACGTAGAGAACTAAAGTAAAACACAACCACACGTATGTCTATATATTTGAAAATAAAATTAAAAACATAGCCATTTGCTTATATTGTCAACATCTTGCTGCATAGCTAAATTACAGAAGTTAAAATAAAACATTGGGAAATCGGTAGGACACTACAACACTTTGCAGTAATAGATTGTGATTTACTAATGTTACTTTCTACCATCCTCGAACTTGTCACTCATCTTTGTAATGTTAACGTCACGAATTAGTCCAGTTATGCAGTCACCCTATAAAATCGCAATACAAAAATAATATTTGCGTCAAAAAATATTAAAATAATAAATATTGACAACTACTATTAAATCACATAATGAAGAATACTAACATCACTATCGTGGAAAACTATATTCAAATAACTTCTGTAAGAGGCATCAAACATCGTCTTAAAGATGCTGCTGAAAGTTTCAATATGACCTTAGTATTTCATTTAAAATCCTTGATTGTACCAAGAGTTGATCCATGCCTTTATTTGAATGTGTGAGTTTATGATTGGTATTGAATTTCATTTTACCAGGAATGTGAGTTTATTTATAGATGAAATTTTGGTGCTTATATATGCACTTATATTTTTTAAGTTTTAAAATGTGGATTTATATGATATAAGCTTATTACTTGATTTGAACTTTTTTTTTGGCGATTTTGAGGGAAATCAGATCATATCCCAAGAATATCCTAAGACTTGATTTTTTTTTTCGATTTTGGTGGTAATAAAACTATTCCAATAGTGTATTTATCTCTTAAATATATGATTTTTTTTAAAAAAATGGTAATAAAGAATGTTAGTAATTTGAGGTTCCCAAAATTTTTTATGTTCTTATTTTTCTTAATCAAATATGTTAACACTAACTATTTCGAACGTGTAACAAATATAAAATTATTGAGATTTTCCTTTAATTGAATCTATGCAATTAGGTAAATAAAATTAAGTTAATATATAAATACCTAACTTTATATAAAGTAAATAAATAAACGCAGTATTATACCACTATAATATGCTTTCAATTCGTATATTTTAATCAAAAGGGAAATATAACCTCCGATTTAGGTTATCTATCGTTGCCGAAAAAAAAAAAAAAAAAAAAACCTCCAGATTCAGGTAAATAGATATATGATATTATTTTGACATATTCCTTCAAATTGCAGACTTTTTTACAAAATTATATATATTTTTATATAGTTGCAATACGTTAAGTCAATTTTAAAATATTGTACTTTTTTAACTGATTTAATTAAAAATTGATATAAATTATGACCTCACCAGCCACAGTCTTGCAAATCAAATAGCATTGCAAAAAAATAATTTTAAATAACATGTGAATAATATATAAAGCAAACATATACCAAAGAAAATTGGTATAACTATAGTTTTTATTTTATTTAAAATTACAATTTTCATATTTTTCTTTTTTTCTATATTTAGAATATTATTTTATGTAGTATATTTTCACCTATTAAAATTTTTATATATAATTTTATATTAAATACAGTTTCTGAATTATATTACGAATTTAAATAATTTAGTTAACTAAATCAACTAAAAAATATAAAAATTGTAATTTTATATTATCGTTAAAGGCAATTAAATACCATGAACAACCTTCATATGCCCACACATAAAGTACGATCATCATTTAATGACCAAGACAACCATAATAAGAATGAAGAAAAACTGATTTGGAGTTGCATACAACTATAAACAACTGAATTTTAAATTTTAGATATTTTAAATGAATCATCGTATCAAGTCCCACTTTGATGCACATTCATTACATCCAGCTATCACCAAGTTAATTTTAGTCATTTAGGTGTCTAGTTTATTATTTCTAACACCATCTCAAGTAAAGCATTCAAAATGTCTGATCACAATGTCATTGAACCTCTCTGATCGGTGAGCTGTCTTCGGGCTTTGCCCGCTGGCCATTAGATACTGAAAAAATATTTTATTAGTCAGATGTGAAGAAAAAATGTATTCAAATTCTGAAAAATGAGTAAAAAAATCCTTTTTCTTGAGGATAGAAAAAAGGTGGGAACTCCGGTTATGTTGTTGCGGAACATGGATCATTTTATGAGATTGTGCAACGGGACACGTTTGATTGTAACAAGACTCTTCAATCATGTCCTAGAATGTAGGATACTTACGGGCGACCATGCAGGGGATAAAGTGTTGATATCTCGAATGACGATAACTCCTTCCGATGCAAGAGTACCTTTTAAGTTTCAACGAAGGCAGTTCTCTATCGTGGTCTCTTATGCAATGACTATTAACAAGAGCCAGGGTCAATCCTTATCTCACGTTGGTTTATTCTTGAAGAAACCAATTTTTAGTCATCGCCAGTTATATATTGCGCGTCACCAACAGAAAGGGTTTGAAAATTCTAATATGTGGTGAACATGATTTGTCTCCAAATCAAACAAATAATGTTGTGTACAGAGAAATTATTAATAATATATGATTTCTTTTTTATTTATTTTTTTGTTTCCATAATTAGATGTTCAATTTTGTTAATTATATTTAAAATAAGTACTTTAATATATTTTAAGTTATGCGCCCACCGTGCATCGCACGGGTACATACTAATAAGCTATAATATAACCAATATATTGAGAAAAAATAAAATTCAGACATTGAATTCTTAGAATTCAATTGAATTTCTATTTTAGTAGATAAATACAATAAAGTTTATTTTAGTAGATAAATACTATATAAGTTTAGATTACGTTTGAAGCGAACAGACCTACTTCTTCGCGACATGCATCGTGTTTTTTTCAGTTGTGCCTTTTC